ATCCAAAATAATTTATTAAGTGTCTGGTTGTAAAATTTCCACTTAATTCATCAGAACTGGATTTGTTACAAAAATTTCTTGGAAAGAAACATTACTTTGTTGTTTGCCTGCTTTTTTTTCTTCTATAATCCATATAGCTTGCTCCCAAATCTGCTTTGCTCAGTAAATTCTAAACAAAACCCAATCATTTCTAAATAAGAAGATACAGTTAAATGCTGCTTTTTCATACCACAAGCCCTTCTAAGGGAGTAAGACCTGACACCTGATTACACAGGCATGGTGATACAACTGAGGCTGTACTGGTGACTGTCCAAATGACAAACCAGTTGTTCTGTCTTGGTTTTCTTTTGCAAGAGTACCAAACTGGAGGGTTGGTCCTACCACACCTTCCACTAGAAATGAGCAGCTCCCCAGTGATGCTCAGGCCATGTCCTGGTGCAGGAAGGCTGGCTGAATCAATACTGTGTTGTGGTGGCTTCTACCTCCTGTTGCTAGTGCTGCAGATAAGGGTTCAAGAAGACTTTTGGTGAGTTAGAGACTTTGAGAGGTATTGGAGCCCTGTCCTGTAGCTTTCTAGACTTCAGTTTGCAAGTGCTGGCTGACAGTCCCAATCTGAACAGATTGTCATTGTTGAATTCTTTAACTTCTGCATAATCTTTGCATGAATAGAATTGCTTGTGTGTCTTGTGGAATAACCTTTTATATAATTAGTATCTGCAATAATTTTTTCCTTTGGAAAGTAATTCATGTCATCTTGCAGAGATAGGACAGACATAAAGCATTATTCTGCAGTCACACAAGAAGCACCATTCATTCACAGTTTGTGTTGTGGAGCCAGTCCTGTGTCCCTGGGGCTGGGCTGGTTTTGTGGCAGCAATCCTAGTTACAGAACTTTCTGCAGTGGTTCTGAACTGAGGGCTGCTCTAGAGTCAAACTGGAATGAAGTTGCAGCCTGGAAAGAGCTAAGTAAAGTTTCTTGATGCATTTGGTCTTTTCATTCTATTATAAATAGTAGATTTTAGTCACCCACCAAGAGTCACAACTGAAGCTCGGTTTGAGGCCACGTTCCCAGATGTGAAAACAGGGATGCTCCTCTCTCAGGCTTTGTCCTGCCTGGGTTTGCATGCTGGATCATGTTCAGGGGATCACATTCAAATAAAGCTGCAAGCTGAGCATGTCCTACCTTGGGCAAGGCAGTGGGAAAGGAGAGAAATTTCTACTCTGCATCTGGAAGGATTTGTGCTGCTCCAGCCCTTGAATAACCTGAGCATGTTTCTGCAGACAGTGATAATAAAGCAATTAGTGAATAATTACTGAAAAGACTTTAGTTAGTATGGTAGGAAAGAGGATACTGGGGTTTTGTATTGATTGTTTGATTACTTCCTCCTCAGAGCAGCAGTAAAAGGTGCTGACAGCAGAGGCAGGAGGCAGCAATCCTTGTGTTGGCCTGGGCAGATTTGTGTTTGCATTGTGTTTGTTTGTGATAGTACCAGAGGAATACAGGCAAACTGGAAAGGAATTAGAGAGTGCAGCAATCATTGCATAAACACCTGAAGTTGTTATTGGGCACAGCTGGCAATACAAAGTTGAACAACAACAACAAAAAGGAGTCCGTTAGGTTGGGAATCTAGGAGACCTTTTCCTTGGAGGAATAACCTTACAGACACAAAAACTTCATTGCTTGAAGGTGGCTTAAAGAATTAGAGAAACCGGCTTAGTCAGTGGTGGGAGGAAACTACCCTTGGAGTGACAGAGGAGGAGACAGTGAGTAATCCATTATTACTCTAATTAAGAAATAACTTAATCAAGATGTAATTATTGCCCAAATTAGGTATAAACCCAAACTGTTCTTTGCTGCTAAAAGAAGACCAGTCTGTCCTTGCTGTGTATGACACAGAGGGAGGAAGGAGTCCTCAGGAAGTCCTATGCTTTTTGAGAGGGAATATTAATTCTTCCTCAAACTTGCTGTCCTGAGGGCCTCTCCTTTCTCTAAATATTATATAGCAGTCATTTCAGGAAATGCCAGAAGGCTTGTCTGAAGTTGATGGAGGCTCAGAAAAGGAAAAGCAGCAGACCTCTTACCCTGGTGTGTTGAAGGGAGTCCATGGATCAGTGGACTTTTTGGAGGCCTAGCATGAGGTGCCTGACAGAGCCCATGAAGGCATTGGGGAGCCAAGAGGCCTTGTTAAACTTGGGCTCTGATTCAGCAGAGGGTTCAGCACACGAGGCAGTGCAGCCTGAGAGGAGTGAGTGGAGGGTGTGAAGTGTTGTTCCCTGGCTTTGTGAGTGATGGTGTGAGCACCTCAGGGTGTGAAAAGGGTTCTGTGCATGCCCTTTCTCCACCAGCACCCTGACTCACTGCAGTGCCTGGGGCACAGCTGGTACCTGTGCTGTTCCTTGGCAAGGGGCACAGCTGGTGCCACAGCTCATCCAGGGCAAGGGGCACAGCTGGTGCCACAGCTCATCCAGGGCAAGGGGCACAGCTGGTGCCACTGCTGTTCCCTGGGAAGGGGCACAGCTGGTGCCACTGCTGTTCCCTGGCAAGGGGCACAGCTGGTGCCACTGCTGTTCCCTGGGGAAGGGGCACAGCTGGTGCCACTGCTGTTCCCTGGCGAGGGGCACAGCTGGTGCCACTGCTGTTCCCTGGCGAGGGGCACAGCTGGTGCCACTGCTGTTCCCTGGGGAAGGGGCACAGCTGGTGCCACTGCTGTTCCTAGGGCAGGGGGCACAGCTGGTGCCACAGCTCATCCAGGGCAAGGGGCACAGCTGGTGCCACTGCTGTTCCCTGGGGAAGGGGCACAGCTGGTGCCACTGCTGTTCCTAGGGCAGGGGGCACAGCTGGTGCCACAGCTCATCCAGGGCAAGGGGCACAGCTGGTGCCCCTGCTGTTCCCTGGCAAGGGGCACAGCTGGTGCCCCTGCTGTTCCCTGGCAAGGGGCACAGCTGGTGCCCCTGCTGTTCCCTGGCAAGGGGCACAGCTGGTGCCACTGCTGTTCCCTGGCAAGGGGCACACCTCATACCTCTGCTCATCCCTCAGGAGGGCCCTCCCGTGCCGGAGGGGCTTTGGGGCAGTGCCAGTGGGTGTGGAGGGGGGCAGGCCGGGACAGGAGGAGCTGAGGAACTGCCTGGCCTGCAGCTGGGATGGGCAGGTGGCAGCCTGTTACAGAGCCCAGCGTGGCAGTTAGCTCTCTGTCCTGAATGCAATCTTTTCAATGCCTTATATAATCCAAAGAACAATGTGGGAAGGGTTCTTTACCTGTGCCACTCCACATAACTGCAGTGAGCAGACGTGGCACATCACAAATTCCATCGAACACTCCTGAATCAGTGCTTCTCAATTTTAAATTAAGGCTTTAAAATATGTAAAATGTGAACATTTAGACTTGTGCTCTCCCCACTGGGTAATTACAACAGCACCAGACTCTTAGGGGACTTGCCTTGTGTGGGCTATGTTTGTCCAGGCTTTGAGCTAAGTTATGGGATGGAACTGTGGGGATGGCAGTGCTTTCATCAGGTGCAGGCCTGGCCTTTCACAGTGTTGGATATTTGCCTTTGAAGAAACCAAAATAAACCCGTGCTGTGGAGTGACTTAGCTGTGTGATATAATAATGTTTTATTAAATAGATTTCTGTTTGTACAGGAATAGAGGGTGCTCAGAATTTCACTGGGGTGTTTTCATTTGATTGTTCATGTATTAAAGAAAGATGAGGCAATGTCTAAAATTCAAGACCCTTAAATCTGAGATTTGCTTTTTTTCATAACAAAGTTAAACAGCTTTTGAGTTTTTTTCTGGTGCAGTTCTGACCATGGTGATAGGAAATGCAGCTGGAAATGACTGCCAAGTGTAAAACACTCAATTCCTAGTTTTCATAGGCTTAACCTTTATACAAATGTTACTATCCTCAATGTCTACAGCAGTGGACTTACTGCATTAAATACGCTGCTATTTATGGGTTGTAAGAGCAACAGTTATTCCTCCTTAAAATATATTGCTATGGTCCCAGAGACCTTGGTGAAGGCTAATGGAAGCCAATGTGGCCTTTACTAAAGACTGCATTCTTAGAGGCATTCAGCTACTTTGCTGCAGGCTTTTTGCAGCTTTTTATAATCCAGAGAGCTTGGAAATCCTGAAAGTGCTTTTCTCTACTGCCCTTTGCCTTATCTTTAGAGCCTTGGAAAACAAAAGGCAGAAATTCACAACAGGATCAAAATGTTTTGCTCTATTAGAATTAAAGGTATTGTTTTGCTCGGTCTGGAGAGGAAAAAAAGCAAGTCTGAAAAAAATTAATGAGTGGCTAAAATAGAGCTGTTAAAATGGCAGCACACAGACAGCCTGTGTATAAATATAGGCCAGCTCTTCAGCACTGCTCTTATATGGTAGATCTGAGTGAAAGAAGACTATCAGCCTACTCTGTTCTGTGCAGGCCTGTGTGCTGCTTGTTCTGTCTGGTGCCAGATGTTTGGTAGTAGACAAGGCTGCACAATACATGGCAATCATAATGACTGTCACCTTTATTTCTGTTGCAGGGACCTGTGTCACCAGTGTGAGAGAGGAATCTCCCAAGTACACTGTGGATTCTTTCTCTGCATATGCTACTGGATTATCTACCTTTTACTGACCCACCCAAAAAGAGAGAAAAAGGGTCAAACAGAAATTGCTGACTTGTCATTTCTGCCTTAAAACTGGCTGGATTTTATGGCCTCTGCTGGAGAAGCTACCTGGACCATTGGAAATGGAGCAGCTCGTGCTGCCCCTCTGCTGAGCATGGAATATGAGCATCGAGGTTCCTTAAGTTAAACCATATGCAAGTTGCATTAGTTGCTGTAACTGTACTGCTGAAACCACTCCAGACTTCTCCAGGGCTTTCCAAGGCAGTAGCTCCTCACACAGTTTGGATGTTTCCAATTGACATTTGAATGTTTTCATCCAATCTGGTGTGGCTGTGAAAAGTGAGCTTCTCCCTGTGAAGTTCATGGTGAGTTTTGCAGCCTCACTTCCCAGCGTGGTGTGTGCTATGGCAGCGAGCTACAGGCTGATGGTGACTTCAGTGAACTGCTACAGCAGCGTGCTGGTGGAGCAGCACTCCCAGCACACTGTGCACTACTGCACAGGCTCCTGCCAGCTCCTCAGACAGGGACTCACCTGCATAGTTCCTCACCACAATGTCTGTGCAGAGCTCAGTGTCCAAGATGCCAACCTGGACCATAAAATTCCTGTTCCTGAAAATGGTCTTGCCTTGGCTGGAAATGAGGACTATCACCAAATCCTCCCAAATAATCCAAGAATCAAGAAAGGCTTTTCAGTGCAAGCTTCCAGCAGTTTAAAAGACATTACTGGTGAGGCAATAAACCTTGCCAGTGGTAAAATAAAGGAATTCTCCTTTGAAAAGCTCAAAAACTCTTCCAGTCATGTGGCTTACAGAAAGGGAAGGAAAGTTCGGTCAGAATCTTTCAGCAGACGATCCTTTGATTTTGACTTGATTTATGGGCACTTTAACAATGATGAGAACTGCCCTCCATGTGGCTTTTTGCAGAGCCCCTCACCTGTGGAGAAATGGCAGGAGAGCAGCGATGCTCCAGAAGTCACCATGAATCCTGTGGTTCCCTTCTGCCCTCATTCCTTCCCTGAAGAAAACTTCATTACCCAGATTTTAGAAAAACACAAGCTAGATGGTTCTTCTGGAGGGGATATTAAGGTGTGCCTGGACATCCTGCTCAAGTGCTCAGAGGATTTGAAAAAGTGCACGGACATAATCAAGCACTGCATCAAGAAGAAATCTGCAGATGTCGTTGGTGGAGGGAGCAGCAATGATCCCCTGGCTAATTCAGAGAGGATATACATGAATCTGATGACAAGATTTTCTTCCTACCTGAAAAAGCTGCCCTTTGAGCTGAGGACAGCAGGGCAGAGGGAATCGAGTGACTGGGCAGAGCTGATGAACTGTTTCCATGGCTTGCAGCAAACTCCCTTTCCCCCGGTATTTGGTGATGAGCAGCCGCCCAGGTATGAAGATATCATTCAGCTGCCATCCTCAAGTGCAGTTCCTCTCACTCTCCCAGGTCAGGGTGAGGTGACAAGCACCTCCCAGTCCATCCAGACTGGCACTGTGAGCTTCACCTCCAGCTCCCTGCCCGCTGTCCCTCCAGAGAGCAGCGGGAGAGCAGCTGTGAAAGATGCTCTACCTCAGCCAGCAGCCCCGAGCCCCTGCGACTGCACGCCCGCCACCGAGGCGCTGTACATCGAGGAGGAATCTGATGGGGACAGAGCAGCAGGGACAGAGAAGAAGGCAGGGCAGAAGGGGGGCTGGCAGAGCCTGGAGCACAGCTACCAGCGAGCTGCTGGCTCAGACCTGGCTGCTGATGCTAAAGCAGAGTGGGCCAGGGCGGGAGATGCTCCCGAGCAAACTGCTCCTTTAAAACCAGTGTCAGACCCTGTGCTGGCTGGTGCCCAAGCTGCTGTCCCCAAAGGAGCCCAGACATGCAGCAGGGTGGACAAGGAGGAGATAGACAAACTGCTGCTGGACTTGGAGAGCTTCTCACAGAAAATGCAGAATACTCTGAGGGAACCCTGTGGGAAGGAGGGTGAGCCTGCCTCACTGCAGGTGTCTGGCAGGCAGGGTAGGCAGGCTCCAGCTCTGGCCCTGGAACCCAAAAGTAAACCTGCTGATCCCCCTTCTTCTTTGTCAAAAATCATGGAAACCAACGGCCATAAAATGGAAGAGGATGACAAAGCCCTTCTACTGCGTATCCTGGGAAGCATTGAGGACTTTGCCCAGGAGCTGGTGGAATTCCAGACTGGCAAGGGAAGTTTGTCCAAGGAGAGGGAAGTGATGCAAATTCTCCAGGAAACTTTAGCAACTCCTTCACAGTCCCTGCTTGCAGGGCAAAAAAGCCATGCTGGGGCTGCCTCCAGAGACTCTGTTCCAGCTTCAATTCAGCAGGCCCCAGAAGTAATAAAGGTAAGAGAACAAAACTTTTGATGGGATAGTGAGTAAAACAAACATGGGAAAATGTGGGGGAGTGTGGGGAATTGCATCTAATGATGCATTGTGCTTTGAATGCTGCAGTGTGGAATAATGTGTTCAACCTGGCAAAAATGTAGCCTTTATTTAAATACAAACAAAAAAAGGAAACTGAAACCCATGAGAAAATAAAATAGGTCCTGACCTGGAGTTTCACCTTTGAGCTTGATCCTTTCCTGCAGGTGCTCCTGTAGACTGTTTACTTGTGGTTTAAATGGGTCCCTTATAATAGGGTGTAGTAATAATTACTTTAATAAGTATAAATAATTATTTCTGGGACCAAGTATTGGACTGCCTCTCAGTAGTTCAGTGAGAACTGATTCTTCCACCTCTCCCTTTCCCATCTGAGCAGCCTTTCTTGTCCTCCTCATCACTGGCTCCTAAAGGGACCAGTCCTCCATGGGACAAAGGACAGAATCTCAGAGGATTTAGTTTTGCTTTCCCTGTCCCCAGTGCATGGAATCATGTGGAGTCTGCATTGCTTGTATCTCAGATGAGGAGCAGGTTTTTCCAGGAAACAGGGTCTTGATGGGAGCCTGCTTCAGAGAGAGGCCAGGGCTGTCTGTCAAGCGCTCGGTGCTTTTTGTTTGGTAATGGCTGCCAAATCTCAAGAAAACTTGTTACCATCCTTCCAAGTAGGCAGTAACTGGAGAGAGGACTTCAATTTCCCCCTTCCACATAGGCACTGCAAAAGTGCCCAGGTTGTAAGTGAACTTTGACAACTTCTAGTTGGAGCCTAATGTGGATGTTTTCAGAACTGGCCACTTTAGCCCAAAATTTGATGCAGTTCTGAAAAAGAGTGCATGGATTGTGTCTTACCCTACATGATGGCACTGAGATCCTTTTAGACCAGGCTCTCCAAGAGTTTCTGTTGTTGCTCTGGGAAGCTTTGCTTGCAGAAAATGGAATTCTGATATTTCCAGCAAGGGAAAGAATCTTTGTCCTCAGAGAGTGTAGAATTAAACAGCTCCAAAATCTCCAAAGTAATCCCTTGTAATCTTGCCTTGTACATTATTTTACAAAATTTTCTGACTTGTGAGTTCAAACAAAAATGTGTTTGATGAAGTGTGACACTGGCTTTGTGGCAGATTTTATGTAATGCTTGAGAATGGGATGCATTTATGCTGCCAAGTGACTCCTCAGTGTGGTGCCTTGGCAGGTTGTGCTCCCCTGATCCCACCTAGCTGTGTGCTAGTTTGCTCCCAGCCTGCCTTCTATGGACATGTGCTCCACAGCTCCCAGAGCTCTGCTCCTCTGTGCAGTCACACAGCTCCTGCCTTGTGCAGATGCCCAGAACCAGACCCTGGGGGAGAAGAGGTGTTTTGGGGAGGCAGAGCTGGTCCCCTCAGCACTGGGCACAAGGCACTGGGCTGCTGGCTCTGCACTCCCCCTGAGGTTTGCTGTTATTTGTGGCACAGATGTGTCCCTTGCTAGGTGTAGCATCTAGGGAATACATCCATATTCCTGGATCACTCTGGGTGTAATTGAAGCTGCATGTGGATTCTCACTTGGTATTGCATGTGTGCCTCAATTATGCAAAGTATTTGTTCTATTTTCTTAAGGCTCATAAAGCTGTTATCAAATAGCTGGGCACACATGCAGAAACCTCAGGCTCTCAGACTGATGACAACACAGCACACCTTTTGTTTGTGAAGGTTGTGACAGATTTAATATCCCTCAAATGCTAAGCAATGAAAAAGGAGAGGGAGAATCCTTCAGACCAGGCTGTTCTCTGCTGCCCTATCTGTGTTAAATCTGTGTTAATTTATATCAGCAACAGACTTCCTCTTTATCATCAACCCAGCTATGATCCTCCACAGAGAACAAAAGGATTACTTGCCTCTTCATCTTCAAAACCCAAATATTTAGAAGCTAGGAAATGAATACTCAAGAAGTCCATCAGTTTTGCAGAGCACATAGTAAGGGCATCACACTTCTTCTGGGCAGGCCAGGAAGCATTGCATACTTTTAGATGTCCAACATTTCCCATTCTGAGATCCAGTTTTCCATTGCTTATCTCTAAACCTCTGAACTATTTGTTTTGGGATTTCCTGTTCTCTGTGCCTTTCTTAAGCTGACTTTTTAGTATGTTGGTTTTGAAAAAAGTCATTCAGTGAGAAGAATGCAGTTGCCTTTTAGAGATCAGTAAGCCCCCTAATATTATCTGTATTTTTGTCTGGAGTGAGGAGGCCTGGAGTGACCAGCAGGTTTGAGGGAATTGGGGGAAACTGGAACCAATGAGCAGAGAAGGTGGAGATGGGGCTGTGGGGATGCTCTGGGCCGACCTGCAGCAATGCTGAGAGTTGGGCTGTGTTGGAAGGTAAAGACTGCTGCCTTTGAGTAAAATGTCACAGGCAAAGTCCTTGGAGAAGTCAGTGGGGGATGTTTTCAACTGTAACCTCTGTCCTTGGTCTGCTGCCTGTACAGGTTGGCTGATTTGACAAAGTAAATTCAGGCAATGCTTGGAGTGGTGCTCTAGTGGTTCTCTAGAAAGAACCCTAGAAAAAATCTGTGAGCAACATGGTCCTTCTGTTTTCATAATCAAGTGTGAGTGATGCAGGGCTCTCCTGCATGTTCTGCTCATGTGTTTTATTTTAAGAGCTGTTGAAAAAAGTTTATGAATAATTTTGGGAGCAGAGGTCAGGGCCAGGCTTTGATACAAAGAGACTCTTTTGGTTTTTGTCCCTCCACTGTTGGGTATCTCCTCAAAAGGATTACCTGTGTTGTAGTGAGCCAGAAAGAGCAGTTCTGCTTCCCATTTCCCTCTCCTCCATGCCTCTACTTCCTATTGTATTGTTCTGAAACCTCTTTATACTGCCTTTGCTGCTTATATGTAAGTTAAACCTAGCTCATACTTTTGTTTTCTGCCATCTTAGTAGGTGGAATAGCTCAGGCTTATGTCAGGTGGGTGATCCAACCATTTGTGGCCAGGGACTGTGGGTCTGGGAGCAGAGGGCTTGTGGGTTGATGAGACCACCTTTATAACCATTCTGTATCCCAGGTGGTAGAGCCTTGAGTGGAGCATCCAGAGGCTGTTCCCTGTTTCCACATTTCCTCTGGGTGGGCTCTAGGTAGTGTCTGTTTAATCCTGCCTCTCCTGAATGACTGACTGATGGGGTGGGTGTTTCTGGGATTCTCAGAAGGTTCTTAACTCCCTGTGCCCTGAAACACCATCTCAAGGGCACACACTTGGCTTTTTTGTATCAAAATGTCTGTGTTGTGTGCTTAAATCAAGGGGCCTAAGAAGGCTCTGAGTGGAATTAACTGCTTCTGAATCATAGAAAGCCAAGGTTGACCTTGCAACTTGTAATTTTGCCCCTTCATAATTTTGTGCCCTTTGTTTTGCAAGTATAATGATATTCTTTTCAAGGAATATAATAATAATGGGGTGATTAATTGCAAAAATGACTTCTATAATGTCACAGTAACTTTAACCTTTTTTCTGAAATAATTCTATATTCTCAAAGGGTGCCTAAAATGTAATGTAAGACTCTCTGGAAAATCAACTTTCATCTTATATATGTTAAGAATTGTTTTGATCAGATATTGATAATATCTGTCACTTAAGCTATGTACACAATCTTCATTCCTTTCAAACATCAATTATTCATTACTTCTCAACACAAACAGTGAATAACTATGGGCTTTTTTTTTCTGTTGGTAACAGTTACTGAAATAAAAACAAGTCTAAGTGAATCTAAAGTATCTCAGAATGAAAGGCAGCTGACAGGCAGTCTGGCATCTCTCACCTTTAAGCTGGGTCACCTACAGCAAGGAGGGATTGCTGGGTTTGTGGTTTGTGCACTTGGTCTGGCTGTTGAGACCCCACTTTTCTCTGTGGGTTTTGTCCAGTTGACTTTGAAGCTGTTAAACAAGATTCACTTACTGTTGATTTCTCCTAGTCCTGTGTGTTTATATCTTTATTTATACCCACCTTGTGTGTTTTGAGATAGGAAGTAGCCTGCTAGAAACCTATTCCAAAACATTGGAATACAGACACAATGAGCCTTGCCTCTGGATTGCTTGTTTTTTTTCAGGTTAGCAGTGAAAACCTCCCAAACTTCTGAGGTCCTTTGTGATTCGTTAATTTGAGCATGAAAAGATTTGGCTGTGCTGGTTTTTTAGAGGAGCTAGTGGCTGCAGATTAGTGTGTCTCTTTAATGCATATGTCTGTAAAGGTCTCTGTAGCTGGTCTGGATGCAGCTGGAGGTCAGAGAGGTTCCTTGGGCTTCATTTCCTCTGCAGGCTGTAAGCAGAACATGAGGTAATTCATCACTTGCCACAGATGATTTACAATAAATCACCTCCTGACATGCTGCTGCATGAGATCTGCAGCACTCCCACTACAGTGCAGCCTCATGGACTCTTTAGGTGTTGCCTTAATGTTTAGAAAAAAATTGTCAGAGTAAGAAAAACCAACATTTGTTCCAAATGTGTTGCATATGGATCTGTGTATCCTTTATTTGGTGGCAGTTCCTCTTCAAACATTCCTGCCTGCCTTTTCCTTTTTGAAGGTTATTTTTTCATCCCCATCCTCTTTGTGTCACTGTTAGGCTTTGTACTCATTTGGACTTCATGTTAACTACAGGAGCCCAGGAAAAGACATCTGAGGCACATGTCCAATAAAAGCTTTCTGTTGTGAGCCTCACTGAGACCTGTGCATTTCAAATGTGATACCTTGATGAGAGCAAGCCCTACTAGCTTGAAATTGGGTGTTTTTCTGTGCTACTGAACTTAGAATCCTGGCAGAGCAGCTCATGTTTTACAGTCAGGTAGGGGAAGCACTCCATGGGACTCTTTTGTGTGGGAAGAATTGGATTTAGGCCCTGGTTCAGCACCTTTCTCATGATAAGAGAAGGAGAACACACTTCTAACAAGCCTAGACAAAGTTAGAGCAGGGGTTTGAAGTCTGCTTGCTCCAAGTTGTGCAGAGAAAA